TGTGTGTGTGTGTGTGTGTGTGTGTGTGTGTTTGTGTATGTAGATGAGAGAGTCAAACACATAGGCCTACTTTTAGATTTAGTAAGAGTTTTACGGCACTTGCAATACAATTAATATTAAGTCATATAAGTGTCCAAGAAAAAAGATATAACTGAGAGTAACATACAAAAAAAGGAGGGGATATAATGAAGATAGATGTTTGATAGGAAAGAGGGAGCAAACCACAAAATAACACAAACCAATCACCCACCAAACTCGTAGAGTAATTTGTTGTAAACTGATCAGGTTAAGGAAACATAGTGAACTGGAAAACAATAAAATAACAGTAAAACGTCTACTTTCATGAATGTTATGACTTATTATTAGATCCCACAAAATCTTTACGTCCTTATTCTGTACAAAGCCATGCACTCAAAATAAAAAGGTTTCATTTTCTACCATTTTACATTGTCATGTCAGTGACAACAAATGCTTATTTAACATATTCACGGTTCACTGAAGCATATTATCCCATATTTTCTTAACTCCCAACCCCCACCCCCCTCAGCAACAGGAGCTATCCACCTGCAAGTTCCTGAATGTTGATACAAAATACACACCACTACACACAGAGTTCCGCATTGTGCACAGGAGGGTAAAGGCAGTTAAGTACAGACATGCACTCGGATCAATCAGGTCAGAAGACATGTTCACCACTTTTGTTAAGTATTTTATGTTCTTGGTGTTGCATGCACAGTGTTTGATTTAAAAATAAATAATCCACTTTTTTGGAAGCTGGCTCCAAACTATGAACACAAAAGACATTCGCTTCCATTATAAATATATATATTTTACCATTGGAAAGCTACGACTAGATAACCAGTATTAATAATGAAAATTCTCATTCGGATTTTGGACAGAAATTGGTCCACATTCTCCAAAACATTTACAGCAGCCCAAGAAAACAGTTACACAAGACATAAAATACACAGAAAATATCTATACCAGCTAGAGGATTTCCACATGAACATGTTTTGAGAAATAGCAGTTTCCATGGTTGAGCAGATAGTTTAGTTTGAGTTTTACGGCACTTGCAACACAATAAGGTCGTATAAGTGCCGAAGATTAGAAGAGAGTAACAAACGCAAAAAAGGAGGAGAGATAAGGAAGACAGAGGTTTGACAGGAAAGAAGGAGCAAACCACACCAGAACACCCATCAACCACCCACAAGCAGATAGTTTGCCCTACCAATGACAATGAATAAAAACACCGAAAGAAAACTACTAATGGCATTGAAATAGGCAAAGATAAGTTCAGGCAAGGCAGAAAAGCAGCTGGTTTTAATTCTGTATGAGTATCAAGTAATTTGTTTTAAAATCAATTCATCTCGAGCATGCAAAAACATCCCTTCTGGCACCTCCAGCCTTTCAGGCTTCAATCAAATTCTATTGGTTTATGAAACTCAGCTCTTACTTTTCGACACTTGTCACTTTGAAACATATAATGCAAAAAAGAAAAAGTCCAATGAAAGAGCATCTAATTTTTTAAATATTTTTTAAAGCTATAAAAAAATTATTTATGATGATTTTCTTTCAAATTTGAAAAAGACAGCAAAAAAAGTCAAACAGGAGAAAGGAAAAAGCTAATCCAACATGAGGCTGAACAGACAACTGACCAAATTCCCTTTTCAGAAGTCCACCTTTAATCAATTCACAGCATCAACTCAAGCCCACCACTTTTACTGCAAAGCTAAAGAAAAACATCAACCTGATATTGCTCATAACAATAACATGTACACACTTGCACGGAAACGAAACAGGACAACAAAGTCTGAAACAAACAAAGTAAAGGAAGCAGAACATCCCAGGAAACCCACCAACCATCTGAAAAGATGACAACATTACCAAAACCAGAGACAAAACAGTGAGGAATTCGTAGGTTAATAGGCGAAACAACAAGCTCATTTTACATTGAATTTGAAGTTTCGTAAATACCCAGTTAAGGGGGAAGTTCTTTTCTACAAGTCTACAGACCTTGGCGTCTAAAGGAAAACCAGAATCCAGAAGGTACTGCACGACCTGCCGGTGTCCATTCCTGGAGGCCAGGTGCAGTGGCGTCTGCTGGACAGACCTGGGAATAAGATAAATGTCAGAGATAAGCCTTTGGTAGAGATAATAAAATGTCAGAGATAGGTAAGCTTTCGGTAGAGATAATAGAATACAAATTGGCTTCTTCGTGCTGAACATTATTGATATCCCATTAAAAACATCCAAAATAAACCACTATAGACTCTAACTCCTTTAAGAGGGAACTTTTGTGACATTTTCTCTAAAACCAAAACAATCTGTTCTTGTCAATCATTTAAGATATTTAAGGTACTTACACAACTGTACTAGTGACTTTTTTAAAACTTTGAAGAGTAAATTAAAATTACATCAACACAAGATGAACATTAAGCCTCATTGGTCAACACTAAAACAGTAACCATATGTTGGCTAATTGGTACGAGGTGCAGTTTATTCACGTGTAAGAGAAAGTTTATCTGAGTTTGCTCCACTCTAGGAATCAGCGGCTCACCTCTGTGCTACAAGCTCAGGATGCGAGGTGATGAGTTGTTTCACAATGTCCAGCCGGTCATACTGGGCAGCCAGGTCCAGGGGAGACAAGTCCTCCAGGTTCCGTATGGTCGGGTCAGCCTTTTTCTGTGCACAAACAAAGATGACATGTAATTTTTTCTGAATATTCATAGCATGCTAGCATTTAAGGCAGGAGCCACACTTACACAGAATTGCCAAAACCTTTAATACACAGGTATTAAATGTGAAACCAAATTACAGTCAAACCTGCTCTAATGACCATCTGTATAAGACAATCAGCTGTACAAATAGCGCCACTCTAGTCTTTTTTTAAACTTAAAAATTACAAGCCATTTCTTCTCAGTAATGGGTGGCCGTCTCAGAAGATTTCGACTGTATAATATTTTGATAAAATAAAGGTACAAGCAATAGCACAACATCCACAAAACGCTACACAATTCACACACCAACCTGTAGCAACAAGGACAGCGTATTGTCATGACCGTGCTGTGCTGCAAAATGGAGAGCTGTGTTGCCGTCTCGAGTCTACAAAAAAATATGAAAAAAACTAGTCAATAATAATAAAATTAATAATATTTAAGAACAGAGAGGAAGGTCAACTCAATAACAGCGACGCAGTGCAGGCGAAAAGCGAGACAGAGGGAAAGCAATGACAAAGTAGAATTTACCCTGGTTTTCCCCAACCACCCACAATCACAAGAATTATAACTATAGGGAAAACAGTAGCAATAATGATTATAATGATAATAATAGAGATAATTGGAACATAATAAGGGGGCTCTCGTGGCCTAGAGGTTAAGGTGTTCACCTTTCACTCAAAGGTCTCGGGTTCGAATCTGGGTACGACCGAAAAATTTTCTTCTCTAAAATTGTCTCCTTTCACCTCCTTTCCTTCTCTCTAGCAATGTTCTGTCCTCTGCTTTCGTTTCCACTTTCTACTCCCACTCCCTCACGTCCTTTGCCCCTTCCTCTGGGCTCTTAAATCTTTCTGCAGCCTTCCTACTGCTACTCCTCGGCTTCTTATTGCTGTCTTTCAGCCACACCCCTGATCTTCTGGTAGAAAAGATCTACAACAAGCCTTCTCGGACAAGGGCGAAAAATTTCGGAGGGCCCGTGTGCGGGTTGCGCATGTTGAAGATCCCTTGGTGGTCTAAAATCGATAACAGAAGGATTCGGCCGCCACCCGGGCAAAATTTAAAATTTCCTACCAACTAAAAAAGTTTGATGAGTCCCGCACGGTCTTATGATCTTATGCAGTTGCGAGAGGCGTAAACCACTTACCAAACCTCCCCCCCCCCAAAAAAAAAAAACCCATAATAATAATAATAATAATAATAACAATAATAATAATAATAATACTAATAATAATAATAATAATAATAATAATTTTGGGAAAATGGGGTTATTGGTATCATCTTAAAGTCTGTTCATTTGCCTTCTTTTCAGTGAAAAAAAAAATCCATTAATGTTAAAAAGAAGTCAAAATATTTGCGGTTGAAGAAGGTCAGGGTAACCTGGTTTCAGAGGTAAAATTAGCTAGAAAATGGCCACCAAAGTTTGGTAACCTCTATAGCCTGAGAATCCTTGGAAACTGAAAATTTACCTTTTTTTGTGCCTTTAATAAATGTATTTCAGAAAAATCCACACAAAAATGTGTTTTACATAGACATAAAAGAAGTTGAGCCAAAAAAAGAAAATTGGAAAAAAATTGCCCATCTGACAAAAAAATGCAGATTTCTTTGATTTCATTATTTTGAGGAGCGCCTGATTTCACTACGATATCTCATATTTTGTTAATCTGAGCTTCACAGTTAAGTAGGAAGGCCACATCCAACATTTCAACAGATTGACAATATCATTTCTATAGCAATAGAATTCAAACATGATGTACCATGATAGAATCTTATGTCTATTCTTGATATACTTATTGAATTCAAACACTTGTATTTTTTATGTACCAAAAATTTAATATAGATGTCCATAATGTCATAATATAGAATGTATAGAGCATTGAGCATGCCATTCAGCAGGAGTTTGTGCAATGCAAACGCTTTCTATTATTATTATTATTACTATTATTGTTGTTATTATTTATATTATTATTATTATTATTATTATTATTATTATCATTATTATTGTTTGTGTACCTGCAAGTTCACCAGGGCCTGCCCATCAGGGGAGTGGAGGAGGTGACTGCAAATGTCTGTGTGTCCACTCCACGCCGCCAAGTGTAGAGGGGAACAGTCCTGGCTGTCCAATACTGTCGGCGAGGCATCGCACTCCAGTAACATCGTTACAATTTCCCTGGAAGCAAAAATGAAAATAATAATAATAATAACAATAATAATCATAATAATTAATAATAATAATAATAATAAAATAATACCCCCCCCCCCCCAAATCCCCCCAGAAGTATTGTTGTTACACTGTCTCTGTGAGCAGAATGATATGAAACAATGATTTGTTTTTCAGAAATGAATTTTATTCCACTATATTCTTCAGCAGACAGTTGGAGACACACAATAAAATATACTTTTCCACAAACATGAAAAGGAATGCACATCTGTTACCTGCAACGGAGAAAAGCCGGACCTAGTTTAGTTTTAGTAAGGTTTTACGGCGCTCGCAACTGCATAAGGTCATATGAGCGCCCAGGGGTGGATGTCAGCAGAGAAGTCCAAACGTGGAATCAGGCTAACTCTGCTCACCTCTCTAGCCTCAACAGCACAAAGTCTGCTTCCTCTATCAAGGCACCCCGGAAAAAAGCCGTTCACAAAAGAGATTGACAAACATACAAAAGAAGAAGAAGAAAATGACGATAGAAAGGATGAGGAAAGAAAAAGCAGCAGTTCCCCCATATGTTGTTCCAGCACAGTATATAACCATGACATTGATAAATCAGCCCATTTACAATTCTTCTGTCCAGAAGAACATGTTAACATCTCCCCTTTGAGAATGGCCTAAAGAAACTTCAGAGAGTAGCACTGCCCTAGGAAGGGGGGGGGGGGGGGGTGACCAGTACACAACAGGTGAGAATGTTGCTTGGGGAAGGCAAAAGCAACAGGCACTATATAGTTATCCTGTGACAATGATTTCACGTAACCATTCAACGGGGCGGGGGCGAGGGTATTATAAGAAACTGTATCTCCGATTAAAACATTTATCTCTGATGAGAAAAAGAGATGGGTGAAGAACCATGGAAACAATCAAGCCAGCAATGAAAAAGAAAACAAATGTAAATGCCTTTAGATTAAAAGAAACGGCAACCCGCAAATTATTCCAGTACTTTAGATACTCTACTAAGGGTGAACATTTGAAACACCAAGCAAAGTAAGAAAATCTGCGCTCGGAAAAATAATAACAATTACATTTATATAGCGCATATATCCGCTCTACAGCAAGTTACATGCGCTTTACAACTACCATTACCCTCAGAAAACCCTAAACCTCAGAAACATTCTCGGCTTCCAAGGAAGCGTACTGAGCAAGAAGCCGACAAAGCGCTCAAACACTAACAAATAGAAAAGCTCTTTCGCCGTCTGTTGTCTGTAGCTGAATGAGTATCCATTCCCCCCTGAGTGAATTAAGGAACGTTCTTGTAGAACGCCTTTACCACTATTTACAAGGACACGATGTCGGGCTTATGACAACGTTTGAACCCATGACCTTTCGGTTACGTGCCCCACAGTCTGACCACAAGACCACAACGCCACAAACAGAAACAGGCACTTTTATACATAAAAAGTTCGTAAGTTTCCACAATGTGTATCAGACATTTCTCATTCTCTACTTTCTGTTTTTTCGAGTGGGGTGGG